AAGATGTCCCCGTGGTAGCCCGGCTTGCCCCACTCGAAGAAGGCGGGCAGGAAGACGCCGCCCGAGTAGAGCCAGAGCAGCAGGATGCAGGCCCGCAGCCGGCAGGGGGTGACCAGCGTACTGTAGCTGAGGGGCTTGGTGATGGCGATGTAGCGGTCCAGGCTGATGCAGGCCAGCGAGGTCATGGAGACGCTCTTCAACACCGAGACCACGTAGCCGAAGACCTTGCAGACCAGCGCCTCGGGCAGGAAGGCCAGCGGGTGGTGCAGCAGGGAGAGGGAGGGCACCAGGCAGCTCACCCCCACCAGCAGGTCGGCGTAGGCCATGGTCTGGATGAAGTAGCTGGTGGTGTGGTGGTTCAACAGCGGCGCGCAGTGGAAGACGAAGATGACCACCAGGTTGCCCGAGATGATGAGGACGGTCAGGAATACGATGATGATGGCCTCCAGGAGGCAGACGTCCAGGCTGTCCGGGTAGCCGGCCGCCAGCAGGCAGAAGGGCCTCCCGCCACTCTCCCCGCCGCCCCCGCCCCCGCCGCTCCCATTGCCGGGGCTGCCGCCATCCAGGGAGGCGTTCATCTTGCCGAGGCGCCCACGGTCCCTTCACGCCGGTGGCCGCTGCCCGGCTGCTGCACCGGCTGTCATTGCGGCAGCTCCTGCGTGGTGCGCGGCTGCTGCTGCTTCTGCTGCTGCTGCTTGGGAGAAGGCGAGGAGGAGTGCGCAGGCTGCCCGGGCATTGTCCGCAATGCTCCCTCTTGGCTCGCTGCTACTGCTGCTGCTGCTGCCGCCGACGGCAGCCACCGCCCCCTCCTCCAGCTGGGCTGGCTGGCAGCAGGCGGCTGGCTGCCGCTGGGGGGGAGCAGAGGTACGCTGCTGCTGCTGTGCTGCTCTCTGGCTGGAAGGAGGAGGAGGAGGAGGCTGGCTGGAGGGTTGGGGGGAGGGAGGGGAGGAGAGGAAGGCCAGTGGAGCCACGTGGGGGCGGTTCCTCCTGGAAGCCGAGGGAGGAAGAAAGAATCCCTCCCTTCCTCCCCGGTTGCGCCAGGCGGGCCTCCCTGCCCCCAACACTGCAGGAGAGAGAGGGGGGGGAGAGGAGAGGGGGCCAGCTGCCCACCAGCTTCCCAGGATCTGGAGGAGGGATGCTTTGGAGACTGCCCCCCCTCCTCCTCCTCCTCCTCCTACGCCTACCTGCCGCTGCTGCTCGGAGGAGGACAAAGGCGAGCTCTCGCAGCCAGCCAGCCAGCCAGGAGACGGTGTGTGCTTGCCTGGGGTGCCCGCCCGGCAGAGGCAGGCAGGCGGCTGCCCGCTCCAGGTCCAGAAGGGGAGGCAGGCAAGCAACACAGCCCTGGGCTGCTTCTCTCCGCCCAGCTGGCTCTGCAGATTCAGTGGGCGCGCGCGCACGACTGCGTGTGCCCGGGCTCCGCCTGCGCGCTTGCTGGCTCTCCTCCGCACTGCCAAGCCCACCGCCCTGCAGAAAGTTTCTCTCGGCGTGGGGAGGGGGGAGCGCAGGCCAAACCCACCCACTCACTCACTCGCCCGCCCCCTGCCCCTCAGCTCGGATGGCAGGAGCTACCGATGCCGTTGGAGGCAGAAATCTCAAAACAGGCGGAGAACGAAGCCTGGTCCTCCAGGTGAAAAAAAACGGCCCAGAGGCAGGGCAGGGGAGGGGTACCAAGCCCCCTAGCTGTCAGCCCCTTGGGAGGGCCGCTGGGAGGGGGACCCTCCCTCTCCCTGAGGCCTTTGAGCAGCCCTCTCAGCCAGAGAGGAACCCCATGGAGCTGATCCTCTCGACTGATCCTCGTTCCCCCCACAACCTCAAAGGCGCCATCACCAAAACAGACGGGCGCTCGTCCTTGCGACCCAGATCCCCCCAAATGACCCCTGTGGAGTGGGACAGACGTGGAATCTGGAAGTAAAAGCAGAAGAGAACCCTATCCTGCGCTCCCGAGGGAAGCCTCTGGATTTACAGCAGGATTCAGGTCTTCAGCCCCCTTTTCAAATCCCTTTGGCCCCCGACAGTCTCTGTTCCTCTTTTGCTCGACACCTTTGGAAGGGGACAGGCTCCCCACGGGGAAAGACGGTGCTTGGAATGTCCGGTCAGGCGAGATAATCTCAGGATTGGAGCAGGATCTCGGCTTAAGGGCAGCCGAGAAGGGAGGGAGGGCTAGCTGGAGCCCGGGCTTCCTCCTTTGAAGCAATCCAGGTGATTCCTTAGCCATTGAAGAGAGAGAGAGGGCTCCTTCTGGAGCATCTCATCTCCCCTCCATCTTGCTCCTTCGGTTACCATAGAAACTGGCTCTTTCCTCTCTCCCTCTTGGGCCTTGCAAACTCCAGATCCGGAGGATGGGATGGGAGTCCTCCTTTTCTGCAGCTTTTCCGTGTCGTTAAGAAATCCTCAAGGACCTTCTTCAAACTCGGGGTTTTCCAAGCGGCCACCTCGAATCGTGACGGTTCGGTTGCTCGAAAGCTTTATTGAACCTCAACGATTCAAAGCAGGTTCTCCTACAAACTGCAGGGAAGGCGTCTCCTCCAAAAAAAAACGTATCCTGTTCTACTGTTTAGTCCGGCGTGAAGGAGACCCCTTTCTAGCTAATGGGATCTATTTCTGGTGCCGCTGAGATCCGCTCACCTGAGCCAGGTGCTGATAAAATGTCCGTACGTTTAAGAAGGAAGGAAGGAACAAGGGTGCGCCGCGGAGTTGATAAGACTAGACTTAAAACTTAGTCTGGTTTAAAAAACAGACGTTATCTCTGGTTTTGCACCCTAGGTGCACGCTTTTATAATAATAATAATAATAATAATAATAATAATAATAATAATAATAATAATAAGAAGAAGAAGAAGAAGAAGAAGAAGAAGAAGAAGAAGAAGAAGAAGAAGAAGAAGAAGAAGAAGAAGAAGAAGAAGAAGAAGTTGTTGTTGTTGTTGTTGTTGTTGTTGTTGTTGTTGGAAGGGACCTTGGAGGTCATCGAGTCCAACCCCCTGCTCAGGCAGGAAACCCTATACCATTTCAGACAAATGGCTGTCCAGTCTCTTCTTAAAAACGTCCAGTGTTGGCGCATTCACCGCTTCTGGAGGCAGGTTGTTCCACTGGTTAATTGTTCTGACTGTCAGGAAGTTTCTCCTTAGTTCTAGGTTGCTTCTCTCCTTGGTTAGTTTCCACCCGTTGCTTCTTGTCCTGCCCTCAAGTGCTTTGGAGAATAGCTTGACTCCCTCTTCTTTGGGGCAGCCCCTGAGATACTGGAAGACTGCTATCATCTCCCCCCTCGTCCTTCTCTTCATTAGACAGACCCAGTTCCAGCAACCGTTCCTTATATGTTTTAGCCTCCAGTCCCCTCATCATCTTTGTTGCTCTTCTCTGTACTCTTTCTAGAGTCTCAACATCTTTTTTACATCGTGGTGACCAAAACTGGATGTAATATTCCAAGTGTGGCCTTACCAAGGCATTATAAAGCGGTATTAACCCTTCAGCTGATCTTGATTCTATCCCTCTGTCGATGTAGCCTAGTGTGAAGGGGGTCCCGGGTGTGGGTTTTCTTGTTGGACTTGTGAACTGGTTAGATGAAAAATTCAAAGAGTCAGGAGGAAAAGCCAACGCCAGCTTCAGAGTGGTTTCAGAGCTGGTGCAAAGCCGCTTTCAGGATTCCCGCGAGGCACACCATGTCGTTTCTCCAGGGAGCAACTGCTGAAAAAAGGCTGGAGGAGGCTTGGAGCCAAGGACAGCTGTTAGGACAAAGGCCCGTCTGTCAAGGGGGAAATGGGGAAGGGCAGCTTTCCAAACAAGAAGCACCCTCGCCGTGGAAGTTACGAGAGGCCTCGACTCACAACGGGTTCACTTAGTGACTGTTGTACAGGTATAGTATAGGGGGTACCTTGCTCAATAGTAGTAACTGTGAGAGGGACCTCGGAGTCCTAGTGGACACCTAAATAGGAGCCAGCCGTGTGCTGCAGCTGCCAAAAAGGCCAACACAGTGCTGGGCTGCATGAACAGAGGGATAGAATCAAGATCACGTGAAGTGTTAATACCACTTTACAAGGCCTTGGTAAGGCCACACTTGGAATACGGCATCCAGTTTTGGTCACCACGATATAAAAAAGATGTTGAGACTCTAGAAAGAGTGCAGAGAAGAGCAACAAAGATGATTAGGGGACTGGAGGCTAAAACATATAAGGAAAGGCTGCTGGAATTGGGTATGTCTAGTTTAATGAAGAGAAGGACCAGGGGGGACACGACAGCAGTCTTCCAGTATCTCAGGGGCTGCCCCAAAGAAGAGGGAGTCAAGCTGTTCTCCAAAGCACTTGAGGGCAGGACAAGAAGCAACGGATGGAAACTAATCCAAGAGAGAAGCAACCTAGAACTAAGGAGAAACTTCCTGACAGTGACAACAATTAACCAGTGGAACAACCTGCCTCCAGAAGCGGTGAATGCTCCAACACTGGAAGTCTTTAAGAAGAGACTGGACAGCCATTTGTCCGAAATGGTATATAGGGTTTCCTACCTGAGCAGGGGGTTGGACTAGATGACCTCCAAGATCCCTTCCAACTTTATTATTATTGTTGTTGTTGTTGTTGTTGTTCAAAGTGACAACAGCACTGAAAAAAGTGACCCTTAGGACCGTTTTTCGCACTTACGACCGCTACAGCATGCCCCACGGGTCGTGTGATTCAAAACTAAGACGCTTTGGAACTGACCCACATGTGTGACCGTTGCGCTGTCACACCTGACCCCCTTTTGCGACGTTCGGAGAAGCGAAGCCGAAGCCGGATTCCTTTCACAACTCTGTTCCCAATTTAACAACTGCGGTGATTTCACTTTGACCACCGTGGCGGGAAAGGCCGTAAAATCGGGAGGAAAAGTCACGTGGCAAACGTCTCACTTAACGACGGAAATTGTGGCCGTAAGCTGAGGACTGCCTGCCCATAATTGCATTTCTGGGGATAACCTCCCTGTGGCACTGCACTGAGTCCTTTTGCAACATCGGTGCCTGAATAGAGGGGTGGAAATCACCTCGCTCCGTCTTCGGGGCTTTTGGCTCTTGAGATGCTGAATACCCAAAACCTCCAAGACGGAATAAACACAGAGAAAACCAAGCAGGCTTCAGTTTCCTATCTGCCAGGGCAGCGGAAGAAGTGTTTGTGCCGAAGACGCCGATGCCAAGCCAGAGTTGAATGCCGGCCACCACGCAGCCTCTCCAGGAAGAATCCACTCTCCTGGCCAACGAGCGAGCTTTTGAGCAGGCTTGGAAACCCAAATCCCTCGCCCTGCTTCGGCTGTCTAGGCCAGGGGTCTCCAACTTCCGGTCTGTGGACTGGTACCGGGCCGCAGCACGCCAGCAACCGGTCCGCACAAACAAGCAAAGCCCCATCTGTGGGATGCAGGCGGCACACAAAACCACGCACCCTCCGGTCCATGGAAAAACCTCTCTCCACGGAACCGGTCCCTGGTGCCCAAAAGATTGGGAACCTTTGCTCTAGGTATCCGGGAAGGGGCTTCTCAAATAGGGTTATGAGGAAACGCATAAAGAACACAACTGGGGCACTTGGAAGACCCCCATTTTCGGCTCTTTAGAAGAGGGGTCCCC